TATTTTGTAGAAAAAAATATATATATATATATATATATATATATATATATATATACATATATGGAGGTGAGTGTTCTGGCACTACCTCTAGTTCCAGCAATAGGGAGGCAGAGGCAGGAGGCTTGTGAGTTCAAGTTCAGATACAGACCAAGACCCTGCCTTTAAAATAGAAGTGGGAATTACAATTAGGATGATACTTTGGTGGATATATAAAATAATGGCAAGATATTAAATATGGACAACTATTACATACAAAGTATCAAGAAAATATTTAACAGAAATATTATGTGAATAAAATTTTTGTATGTGTGTGTGCTAGGAGAAAGTTAACTGGTATTCATGGAGACCAAATGATATGGCAACAACTGATTTGGATGAATGTTTTTTCTATTTATTTATACATTAATCAAATCTCTTTATTGTAATGAACTCACACATATAAACATACAGCTAGATTAAGGTAGCCAGTCAAACAAATACTTGCCTAGTCCCAAACTCTATGCATCTCCGTGAACTTCTATCCAGTTAGAATGGCCTTTCTGAAGTCATGGAGCATCATTTGGGGATTTATACTTCACTATTAATTACATTTGTACGTACTTACCTACCACTAAAATGCAAACCTGTAACAGGGTTGAAACTAGAAAAATATTAGCTTTATATCCTCTTTCCCGACCCATAGTTCCCTTTGCCTACATTCTGTCCTTCCCCCTAACTCAGTAGTACCCTCTCTTGGTCTCTTTTCTAAATAGCATAGGGTATCCACATGTACAGCTGGGCACATATGTATTGTATATTAGGATCTGGGTATGAGAAGATGTTTTCCTTTTTATAACACACAGGTTTGCACTGTGCTTTGTTCTGAATGTTCTTCATTACTGTTTTATACTAGTTGAGTCATTGCTACTACAACAGATATGGCTTAGCTCTAGGCTATATTTTCTTGCTTTTTGTTTTTTTTTCGAGACAGGGTTTCTCTGTGTCCTGGATGTCCTGGAACTTCCTTTGTAGACCAGGCTGGCTTCAAACTCACAGAGATCTACCTCCTCTGCCTCCCAAGTGCTGGGATTAAAAGCGTGTGCCACCACTGTCTGGCTTGTTGCATTGTCTTTAAAGGGGCTTGGTTGACTCTCATAGACTGCTGGAGTGCTCAACACTATATGTCTAAAAATAACACGACATGGAAGGTGAAAATAAGCATCAATAGTATATATTTATAATAAATGTAAAATACATAATCATATACACAGATAAATTTCTATGAAATAACAAGAATTATTAATAATAAAGCCATTTTTCATCTGTATGGCACCCCATGTTCCCTCCTGAATAGGGGGAGGAGATGAGTAGGACTTTTTACCTCTGTTTGCCCTATTCATTCCCTGCTCTTTGGCTTTCATGGATTAATATTTAATTAAGAATATCAGTTTAATGTA